AGACCATCAGAAAACACATATTTGGCAGAGAAGGCTGAAGATCTCTCTGCCTGTCCTTTTCTTTCTTTTTGGTGCTGGTGAACTAAGATTAGCAGAATTCAAAAACACCCCCCTCAACTCAAACAGTATTCAATGTTGGCCATGAGCCAAGTTTGGTACAGATCCAGTGTGGGCTGGGTTCAGAGTACTCTTTGATTGTAGGTTAACTATAAATCCCAACAACTACAACTCCCAAATGTCAAGGTCTATTTTCCTCAAACTCCACCAAATGTTCACATCTGGGTATATTGAGTTTTTGTGCCAAGTTTGGTCCAGATCCATCATTGTTTGAGTCTTCAGTGCTCTCTGGATATAGGTGAACTACAACTCCCAAACTCAAGATCAATGCCCACCAAACCCCTCCAGTAATTTCTGTTGGTCATGGGAGTTCTGTGTGCCAAGTTTGGTTCAATCCCATCACTGGTGCAGTTCAGAAGGCTCTTTGATTGTAGGTAAACTATAAATCCCAGCAACTACAACTCCCAAATGTCAAAACCAATCCAATACAGCCCATGGAGGCAGGCAGGATGTGGCAGCTTTTCCTGGCCAACACATTAATCTGGGGTTGCGGCATTAGGAAGGTTGAGAACCACTGGATTAGAGGAGTTTGGAATTTTCAGTCCAGCAAAGTACCCTTTCCACTGTTATTGCCATCACAATCTCTATTTATATGAGAATAACCCTGAGTAATGCATAAAAACTGCTGTGCAACTGAGTGCATTCTGAAGCAGCAAATCCATTTTTGGTCTACATCCAGTTCCGCTCCAACACAACATGTTCTGATTTTGCTACAATCAGGGCCAAATGATGTCAAGAGCGATTCTGTTGACTCACCCAAATCGATCAACATAGGAAAATAGCATATGACATCAGCTGCTTTTGAAAAGGCATGGGGACAAGTTGGGCAATCTAAATTTGTCATTGTGAAGCAGACTTTCAAATTAAAAGATCCATAAAACACTCCATCGGAAATGTGCCTATTATCTATCTACACCACTTAAGGATTTAAGAGCCTGAGATTTGTAAGGAATTCAACAAAGCAAAGAAAAATGGAAGTTGAAAAAGACTTCTGCTTCCACAACAAGAGTGGACACCGAGTGTCTCTCTGTGCGGTTTTTCTCTGTGCATCACTTAGTAGAATTCTGTTTCCATCTGGTGGCAGAGTTTGGAGGTTCCAGAAGTTGAGGTTTGCTCATATAGTGGTAAGATCAAAATTCCCTGTATATTTTGAACTTTGGAAAGATGCCTGATGTCACTGTGCTATTGTAAGGCTTGTTGTGCACTTTCAAGTCATTCTGATTTATGATAACAATAGTTTTTTTTTGTGTCAGGAGCAACTTGAGAAACTATAAGTCGCTTCTGGCATGAGAGAATTGATCGTCTGCAAGGACATTGCCCAGGGGAATTCCTGGATGTTTTGATGTTTTAACATCCTTGTGGAAGGCTTCTCTCATGTCCCTGCATGGGGAGCTGGAGCTGACAGAGGGAGCTCATCTGCGCTTTCCCCAGATTCGAACCTGGGGAAAACCCGGGGGCTCCAATAATGCAAACCTACTAGTGAATCAAGTCATATATTGAAGGTAACTTAGATTTACCTTAGACTCCACTGGCTGTCGGTCCATTTCCGAGCACAAGTCAAAGTGCTGGTCTTGTCCTATAAAGCCCTATACGGCTCCAACTCAGCTTACTTGTCCGAACGTATCTTCCTGGAATACTGTGTCCAGTTCTGGGCACCACAATTCAAGAGAGATATTGACAAGCTGGAATGTGTCCAGAGGATAGCGACTAAAACAATCAAGGGTCTGGAGAACAAACCCTATGAGGAACGGCTTAAGGAGCTGGGCATGTTTAGCCTGAAGAAGAGAAGGCTGAGAGGAGATATGATAGCCATGTATAAATTTGTGAGAGGAAGCCACAGGGATGAGAGAGCAAGCTTGTTTTCTGTTTCCCTGGAGACTAGGAAGCGAAACAATGGCTTCAAACTGCAAGAAAGGAGATTCCATCTGAACATGAGGAAGAACGTCCTGACTGTGAGAGCCGTTCAGCAGTGGAACTCTCTGCCCCGAAGCGTGGTGGAGGCTCCTTCTTTGGAAGCTTTGAAACAGAGGCTGGATGGCCATCTGTCAGGGGTGCTTTGAATGAAATATTCCTGCTTCTTGGCAGGGGGTTGGACTGGATGGCCCATGAGGTCTCTTCCAACTCTTTGATTCTATGATCCTGTACATTCTCATAGTTTAAGATCCACCAGAGAGGCCCTGCTCTCGGTCCCACCAGCCTCGCAAATGCATCTGGTAGGGACGAGGGACAGGGCCTCCTTGGTGGTGACCCCTCGCTTGTGGAATTCGCTCCCCAGCAAGATTAGATCGGCATCTTCCCTCCTTTCCTTTTGAAACCAGGCTTTTGGCTAGCAGGCACAACGGCACTTTGGACATTGAACTGGACCATATGATTGTTATGATAATGGAAATGACTATATGACTCTATAAGTAATGTTATTGTTTTTAATCTACTGTGTATTTATGGTTTTATATTGATGTTATACTGTGATATTGCAGCATTGCATTGTTGCCAGTGTTAGCCGCTCTGAGTCCCCCCTCGGGGGTTGAGAAGGGCGGGGTAGAAATGTTGTAAATAAATAATTTACATACCATCCAAGAAACCACAATTACAGCCTATGACATTTGCTATTTCTTGACCATCTCCCTTCTATGTATTAATGAAGCTGTTAAATATTTTCTGACTTTATGGTGACCCTATGGCAAACCTATCATGAGGTTTTCTTGGAAAGATTAGTTCCGATGGGAGTTGCCTTTGCTTTAAGGCTGAGAGAATGATGCTTATCTAAGGTCTCCACGGTTGCCCAAGCCAACTTGCTGCGGCTGAGCAGGGATTTGAAACTTGATCTCTTGGAGTGCAAATCAACACTCAAACTACTGCACCAAGTTGGCTCTCCCTGTTGTGCTAACAACTAATTTGGGAGTGAAATGGTGCAAACTGAGGATTAGTACAATGGCAATCCAATCCAGTTGTCATTATGGAAGTGCTTGTGCAAGTAATTGTGCAAACAACAGCAGAAAACTGGTGCAATGAGGTAATGCTGCCTAATCAGATTAGTAGAGATTTCCCCTATGTTGACTTGAAGGCACATACAGTTAGCCCATGCATTACATAAGGGATCCATTTCAGAACCCTTCGTATAATACGATTTTCACATATATTCTGGAGTCTCATTTTTCTTACTTGAAATGAACAATGTCTTGGTAGAAATAAAGATGATTATGATTATTTTACTGACACAAAAGCACAGTATGTCACAGCAAACGAGATCTGTATGCTGGAGTTCGTATCACAAAATCACAAGTCGAACACTTCCCAAGTGTCTAGGACTGTGTGATGTATTTTCGAATGATGCGTGCAAATCCAAGTAAGCTGGCCTTTTGCAGTGGACAGATCGTGATTTTGTCAATGCTTATTGTTTCCAAATGCCGGCTGAGATCTTTTGGCATGGCACCCAGTGCGCCAATGACCACTGGGACCACCTGTGCTGGTTAATGCCAGAGCCTTTGCAGTTTGATTTTGAGATCTTGATAGCGGCTGAGTTTTTCCTGTTGTTTTTCCTCAATGCGACTGTCACCTGGTATGGCGACATCAATAATCCAGACTTTTTTCTTTTCCACAATTGTGATGTCTGGTGTATTGTGTTCCAAAACTTTGTCAGTCTGGATTCGAAAGTCCCACAGTATTTTTGCATGTTCATTTTCCATGACCTTTGTGGGTTTATGATCCCACCACTTCTTTACTGCGGGCAGGTGGTACTTGTGACAGAATAATAACAATAATAATAATTATTATTATTATTGGTGTTCCATCTAAACCATGCTACAGAATTGCACAGGAGGACTGAGTGATGCCTAGAGAAGTGCTCCCTCTTGGCCTCCTTGTGATTCAATGGCCACTTTTGGAGGAACACTTGGCAAAAGTTCACCATAGAATTGTGCAGGAAGCTTTGGGGAAATCGTCCTCTAGACATTGCTAGGTCTTCCTGCGTGATTTGATGGCATTCACAGCTCTTTGCGTATAACTGATGATATTGTGTTCAGCAGACTTGTATGATAAGTGGCTCTACTGTACACACACACAAACACCATTTTGTAACGGATTTTGATGTAACTACAAACAGCAACAGACAAGACATGCACTCCATGGTTTGGCAAACTGGACTTCTTCAGAGTGTGAAGGGTGGTGCTGAATTGTTGTATCTAAAAGTCATATACTTTTAATTTGTTTTAAAATGGTATTGTTTATTTCCATTTTAATGCTGACCTTCTGTATTTTAAAAATGCTATTATGTTCAAATTTGTAAGTCACATCGAGTCTCTGTTGTTGGGGGGAAAGGCAGTATATTCACAATCATGATTACATGACAGGTAGGAGAGAACCAGCATTGTGCAGTGGTTTGAGTGTTGGGATACACATCTGGAGATCAGGGTTTGAGATCCTCCTTGGTCATGGAAACTCACTGGGTTCACACTCTCTCAGCCTTAGAGGAACACAAAAAACAAACCTTCTCTGAACCAATCCTGTAATCCAACCCTGTGATAGTTCTGCCTTAGGATTGCTGTTGGTTGGAAAATAACTTGAAGCCACACGACAACAAGAAAGAAGTGAATAAAAACACAAAGAAAAGTCATCTTTGGGAACATTCAATCTGCAGCCAGTATTCTGAAACAAGGGTGGGAATTATTGGGACTTGCAGTCCTCCAGATATTGGACAGCTAGACCCAGCTGTCATAGCTGATGAATGATGGGACCTGCAGTTCAACAGCAACTGGAAAGTCACCTGATTCCCACCCATTCCAGAAAACTGACCCGGGAAACACAATGATGAGTTTGTAAAGTGCCCCTAATCCCAGCCAATGCTAAATGTTATTGTTCCTTTCCTTCTCCAGCCCACTTCTTACCCACTGATTCCACCAAAGCCAGGCTCTTCATTTTTGTACTATGCAGCACGTCCTGAAGGTCGCGGTACCGACAGTTTAGGGTGATGTAGCGCACGTCACGCACCATGATGTCCTCCACACGGACATTGTACTTCCTGCAAAATGCAACAGGCTTTGAGAAGCATATCTGCATTTTAGATCTAAAGTATCCTCATAGGACATTCACTTTCCTCAGGGAATTGTAGTTCTTGCACGGTCTGGAATGCAAGCTAAGAATTTTGCAGGCAAATTACAGCACCTCCAAACTACAGTTCCCATGGGGCTTAAAGGAGTAAAAAGCTAACATAGATTTGTAGCAGACTGTTTAGAACAGCTGTCCATGACGTAAAAGAGTTAAATTGCATTAGTGACCTTGTTGGATACTTTTTGCATTGGCTCTGGGAAAAGATATGAAGACTGAGAATCAACTGAGGAGTTATCTTTTCTCTGTTTACCTATTCTATTTGTACAGTTGTCATTGCTATTGGGGGAGGATATGGGATGCACTTGCACACTTTGATTTCCTTTGTTTGCTTCTGCACTACGTAAACTTTTGGGAATCTCTTCCATTTGCTTTGGCTAGAGACAATGTTCCCAACCTAGGTGTCTAGTGATAGGGATTTGAGCTGATAGCCAATTGAAGAGTAGAATAAGTTTGGAGGCCTGATTCTACCATTAGCTGTGAGGGGTGCTGGATCCTATCAGCAAAACAGCTGCAATGCATTTCTGCCATGGATCATCTGCTTCATCGTTTGCCCCCAATATACCTTGTGCTATACCAGTAATGTGTATCACTGACCAGCTTCCAAAAGAACCCTTGGAGGGGCTCGGAACTATATCCAGATACGGAATTTCAGTTCCTATATACAGCTGGCTGGGGATTATGGGAATTACAATCTAAAACATTTCCTGTAAAAAGGTACCTTAGTTAAAGAAAGCCACCATGGATGTGCCTTTTAAGTTCTCTGTTGACTTATGGTACTAGCCAGAGATAACCCTGCTTAGCTTCTAAGATCAGGCAAGATCTGGTGCCTCTAAAATATGTAGAAATCCACCCTGGATGCCTCTAGGCAATTCATTCTTATCATCTCTGGAAGTACTTTCTACAATTTTGAACTTTCTGGACTCCAACCAATTCCCATCAGCTCATAATGATAGCCCAAAATGTCTTGAGGGCACTATGTTGAGCAAGGCCTACTGATCAACTTACTCATGATGTCCCCAGCCCAGCTCTGGCAAGTAGGGCAACTTCTTGATCCGGATGATGCTGTCGTAGAGCGAGGGCTGCAAGCTTTGGGCCACGGCGTTGGCCAGAATCACCGCGATCATCACTGGCAGGATGTGGGAGATCTGGCCTGTCAGCTCAAAGACGATAACGGCAGTGGAGACTGTGTGGGTGACCGCGCCAGAGAGCGCGGCTGCACCTGGAGTCAGGAAATAAGCAGTATTATCTGTTGGGTTGTTGTAGGTTTTTTCAGGCTATATGGCCATGTTTTAGAGGCATTCTCTCCTGACGTTTTGCCTGCATCTATGGCCATAGATGCAGGTGAAACATCAGGAGAGAATGCCTCTAGAACAGCAGTTCTCAACCTGTGGGTCCCCAGGTGTTTTGGCCTACAACTCCCAGAAATCCCAGCCAGTTTATCAACTGTTATGATTTCTGGGAGTTGAAGGCCAAAACATCTGGGGACCCACAGGTTGAGAACCACTGCTCTAGAACATGGCCATATAGCCCGAAAAAACCTACAACAACTCAGTGATTCTGGCCATGAAAGCCTTCGACAATACAGTAATATCTGTTTGTCTAAAAAGTTGCACTTGTTTCTCTTCTTTTTGGATTATTCTTGCCTCCAAAACATCAAAAAATCCCAAAGCACATGAAAACATCCTTGCCCTGCTAACAGAAACCTCTCAGTATCCACAACTACATCTAATGTTCTGTAGCAATCTGTCTCAAAATGTTTCAATGAAGCAATAGGGTGTCGCTTTTGGTCACCATTTTGAGAGCCACCAGAGAGAAAATGGACTATTGGGGCTTGCTATGTGTGAGTGGGGAATATATTAATCGATATACTCATCAATAACAATGTATTCATTCTGCTTTCAAGGGTTGTATACTTTTTTGGGGACAACTTGTATAACTAAAAACAGAACTAAAGCCATATCAAACTTTAATTTAACCATACAGACTAAAAGTAGTATAGCACTCAAATAGAAGGTCTTTCTCACACGGCTATCACCCCAGGAACCTCTGGAAAGGGTATGAGAGAGGCTGCCTCTTACCCACCACTGCGTAGCCTCCAGGCACAATGCGGTAGATGTTGCTGTCGGTGTGGATGCCATCCGGGAACCAAGCAGCCATGCTTTCACCTACCAGGCGGCCAAAAGCTGCACCTGATCACAAGGATGGAGAAGAAGGATCAGGGGCTAATGAATGGATGGAGCAAAACACACAAAGAAATAGAAAGAGGTTTGACACTGCCGCCATGATAGGTTTGGCAAGGTATGGTTTGCCCCCCAGTGTCTTCAAAGGCAGGGGGACAATAAGTTAAACATGAGCCAACAATGTGATGTGGCAGCAAAAAAAGCCAATGGGATTTTGGCCTGCATCAATAGGAGCCTAGTGTCTAGATCTAGGGAAGTCATGCTCCCCATGCTCTATTCTGCTTTGGTTAGACCACACCTGGAATATTGTGCCCAATTCTGGGCACCACAATTCAAGAGAGATATTGACAAGCTGGAATGTGTCCAGAGGAGGGTGACTAAAATGATCAAGGGTCTGGAGAACAAGCCCTATGAGGAGCGGCTTAAGCAGCTGGGCATGTTTAGCCTGAAGAAGAGAAGGATGAGAGGAGATATGATAGCCATGTATAAATATGTGAGAGGAAGCCACAGGGAGGAGGAGCAAGCTTGTTTTCTGCTTCCCTGGAGACTAGGGAACAATGGCTTCAAACTACAAGAAAGGGGATTCCATCTGAACATGAGGAAAAACTTCCTGACTGTGAGAGCCGTTCAGCAGTGGAACTCTCTGCCCCGGAGTGTGGTGGAGGCTCCTTCTTTGGAAGCTTTTAAACAGAGGCTGGATGGCCATCTGTCAGGGGTGATTTGAATGCTATATTCCTGCTTCTTGGCAGGGGGTTGGACTGGATGGCCCATGAGGTCTCTTCCAACTCTTTGATTCTATGATTCTATAATTCCTGTATTCCTAAAGGTTCTCCACTCTTATGTTAGTCAATAGATGTTCCTGTTTCCCCCCTCCCTTCCTCTCCCAGTATTTTATTCCCTCACCCAATTTTTATTGTAATCTTGTTTAAGGAAGATGATCTTTTTTGTGAGGGAAGATTTTAGGTCAGATTTGGATAATGTACCCATAATTGCTCCCTAAGGAATGTGCTGGAGACAATGTTGGGAAATTTTGTTGCTCCCTTGAGCTATTTCAAGTCCAAGAGAGATCTTTTTCCCATTAGGAAGTGACCAAAGGTCAGCTTTTTGGCCATTTCTTGCTGAAATAAAGACCTCTGAGGGCTGAAAATTTAGTAAAACTGCTCAATGCCCAAAAGGAAGAATGATGGGCCACCAATATAAACTTTTGCAGAGGTAGGGTTGTTGTAGGTTTTTTCAGGCTATATGGCCATGGTCTAGAGTCATTCTCTCCTGACATTTCACCTGCATCTATGGCAAGCATCCTCAGAGGTAGTGACCTCACTACCTCTGAGGATGCTTGCCATAGATGCAGGCAAAACGTCAGGAGAGAATGCCTCTAGACCATGGCCATAAAGCCCGAAAAAACCTACAACAACCCAGTGATTCCGGCCATGAAAGCCTTCGACAATACATTTTGCAGAGGTATTTGGGGTGTTTTATTTAATTTGTTTATTTATTTACTTACTGCCTTTGTATACCACCTTTCTCAGCCCATAGGTGACTCAAGGAGGTTTACAGGGCAAAATTCAATGCCCATAATACCATAAATACAATTAAAAACATTAACATATAATAAGAACCATAACAACATCAATAAAAACATAAGTCATTAGTGTCTCCCTGTTAAAAACATTGTCCGGTTCCATTGTCTAGTCGTTCCATATTCCTATGTCAGTTACTCTGCATTTGCAAACAGTTTTAAAGAGTCATATTTTTAGACTGTGAAACCAGGGCATGGATGTCCATCCAAATGGGTCCTAGAGCAACTACAGATGAGTTGTTGTAGGTTTTTTCAGGCTATATGGCCATGGTCTAGAAGCATTCTCTCCTGACATTTCGCCTGCATCTATGGCAAGCATCCTCAGAGGTAGTGAGGTCTGTTGGAACTAGGAAAAAGGGTTTATATATCTGTGGAATGACCAGGGTGGGACAAAGGACTCTTGTCTGCTGGAGTTAGGTGTGAATGTTTCCATAGATGCAGGCGAAACGTCAGGAGAGAATGCCTCGAGACCATGGCCATATAGCCCAAAAAACCTACAACAACCCAGTGATTCCGGCCATGAAAGCCTTCGACAATACAACTACAGATGAACTTTCCCTCAATTACAGTTGACTAAACTGAGGCTACTCTTCTTTGGCCACATCATGAGAAGGCAATAATGCTTGGGAAGGTTGAGAATGGGAGGAAAAGAAGAAGGTCAAGTTCCAGATGGATTGATTCAACCAAGGAAGCATGGATCCCAAGTCTCCAAGTCCTGAGCAGGGCTGTTAATGACAGGGTGCCTCAACTTGATGACAGTAAGACACAACGAAGTTGGAGTGTGTCTATCCAGAGTCCCACCCAAGAACCAATATGTTCTCCAGTGATTTCAGTGATAGTTGCCTGCCCTCATGATACCACAAGACAGAGAAAGGGGACAGCCAAGGTGTGATGGCAAGAAGGATGATACTCACCAATGACAAAGACTGGCATGAAGGCCCCACAGGGAACTGGGATGGTGGTGGCCAAGGCAGACATCCAGAACTGTGGGGAGGAGAAACAAATGTTCATTAGCAAGAGAAGGGAAGCCATGCCTGTCAATCCTATCCCAACATGGAAACAAATGCACTCTGGGAGGGTTCAGAGGCACAACATACCTTCATGAGAATGAAGACCACCAGGGTGACAAAGACGTTGGTGTGTGGGTGCTTCCAGGCCTCAGAGACACTAATGTATTCAAATTCTTCTGCCAATCCTTGCTTGGCCCATGTTCGGTTATCAAACAAGGTCACCAGTGTTTCCTTTTGCGTGAGCTGCAAGACAAAAGTCAGCAAATCAGAGTTTAAAAAGGAGCAACATTTGTAGCAATTCTGGGGGACTCATGCTGTTTTAATGCCCCCACCTACAACATCAATGGAACATAGTGCAAGTTGAGGTTTGTCCCAGGCTTTGAAGTTTCTAGCCCAAACCAAAGAGTAATGGCACTGTTATGCATTCAGTACCAAACATGGTTGCTCACAGCTTGTCATGCAAACACACACAGAAATTAGAAATTAAGACAGAAATCTTAACTGAAATCTTAATCTTAAATCTTGGAGCAGTGTTTCCCAACCTTTGGCCCTCCATGTGTTTCGGACTTCAGCTCCCACAATTCATAACAGCTAGTAAACTGGCTGGGATTTCTGGCATTTGAAGGCAGTTGGGGGACCAAAGGCTGGGAATCACTGCCTTAGGGATTGTAGCTAGCTGCTATTCTACTAGCTGCGGTGGTGATTTCACCCAGCTCTTTCCTCAAGTTTGCCCCACCAAAACCTAGGATTAATCTCTGTTGGATCAAGACAGCTGGAGCATATTAAATAATAACAACTCATGGTACTAAACATCATGAAAAATCAAATTGCAGACTATATTGTCAGGCTTTCTGATGGGTCAGATGCAACTCAAAAGCCTACACATAGGGCACAGAGGTAAAATATCTCTCCAGTTGCCAGTACTAGAGAAACTGGAGCCCTTGGTGGTGCAATGGATAAATGGGTGGTGCAATTTCAGACTGCTGACCGAAAGGTTGGCGGTTCAAACCTGGGGAGTGGGGTGAGCTCCCATTTGTCAGTTCCAGCTTCCCATGTGGGGACATGAGAGAAGCTTCTCACAGGATGAGAAAACATCCGGGGACCCCCTGGGCAACATCCTTGCAGGAAGCCAATTCTCTCACACCAGAAGTGACTTGCAGTTTCTTAAGTTACTCCTGGAGCCCCCGGTGGCGCAGTGGGTTAAACCCCTGTTGCCGGCARGACTGAAGACTGACAGGTYGCAAGTTCGAATCCAGGGAGAGTGTGGATGAGCTCTTTCTATCAGCTCCAGCTCCCCATACGGGRACATGAGAAAAGCCTCCCACAAGGATGGTAAAAACATCAAAAAATCTGGGTGTCCCCTGGGCAATGTCCTTGCAGACGACCAATTCTCTCACACCAGAAGTGACTTGCAGTTTCTCAAGTTGCTTCTGACACGACAAAAAAAAGTTACTCCTGACATGAAAAAAGTCCTAGAGAATATGGAAGCATTGTCATTGAGTGGAAATTAAACAGGAGGATTTTTAAAGTGTGAGGCAAACCAGAAAGAGGTCCTACACATGATATGTGTTGGGGTGCATCTACACCCTAACACATTATGGAGTTTGGAACTACTTTAGCTGTCTTGCTTGGCTTAATGTTATGGAGTCCTGGACTTTGGTGAGGCACTCAGGCTACTTGGCACAGAAGGCCAAAGACCTTGTAAACCTAGACTCCCATGATCCCATAGCATTGAGCCATGGCAGTTAAAGTGTTGTCAAGCTGCATTAACTCTACAGTACAGATGCCCTCTAGGAGTACCTTGTGAACCTGTGTCCACACAGTGCCTGCAGCACAGAGAGAAGCCTATATGGTGAACTTTCTTGGACAAGGCCTACAAAACTCACCTGACCAGCCATGAATTGCCCAAAGCCAGGTGGGAAGGTCAGTGTTGCTATGAGAAGTGTGACAAGTGCAGGGAAGAGTAGGCGTCTGTAAAGGGATAAAGCAAAGATGAATCAGACCACATAAGACCACCCCAAAATAGCACAAAACATGCCCCCCCCCCACACACACACAAACAAAGGAAAATGTGGACATTTGAAATCCCATCACCACTGGTTTTAAGGAAAATCGAATTATGTCTTGTGATGGATCAGCAAAGGCTATGAGACTCAATTGTATAAGGAGCCTCACTCTATATTCCCCACACCAAGTACCCTTTTGCACTACAGAATTGCAACACTTTCATCCCACTTTAACGGCAATGGCTCAGACATAATGAGTCCTGAGGATTGTAGTTTGGTGAGGGGTTCAGCATCACTGCCAGAGAATCCTAACACAACGGCATTTAAAAACCTAATTTGCAAAGTGCCACAATTGCAAATTACAAGTGTGTCAATGGTATTTCTTTGTGGCCAGGACAGAACACACTTCTGTCTTAATTTGTGACTATTTGTACAATTTTGCTTATGTATATAATACTTTAGAGAAATATAGCTGATAATGGAAAACTACATATAAGGTAGACTACATATAATAGGAAGGAATGATAAAATATAACTCATACATAATGCATATATACCTAAACAATGCTTTCCTAAATATAATTCCACTACAACTACTTAACAAACTATGCAAAATCAACACAAACTAACTAACACAGAAAGGACTACTAATAAAGGTATAATAATTGTGAAGGTTTAGAATGGAAGTCAAAGACTTTCAATTTTTTCAATTTTTATTATATTTTTAATTTTCATTTTTATTCTATTTTTTCCTCTCTTCTTCCTTTCAGTGATATTCTCATTTCCTACTTTTCTCTGTTTATATTGTTCCCCCACTTTTTATGTAATTTTTTTCCTTTTTAGCTTTTAATAAAAATAAATTAACAACAAAAAACCCCAAAACAAACTAACACAGAGATATAGATGACTTCCCAATTGCCAGTTATTATTACAATACATTGACTTCTCTAAGCTATATGGAAAACACAAATATTTAAACTATCATATTTAACTACTTTAAGCATTACTTCTACTTATTTCTGAATTTACTTATCCATCAAAATCTAAGATTACTTCTGTTTCTCAGTTTTTTTCTGATATATTTAATCAGTAATTTCTATTTTCATTTTTCCAGTGTTTTGCCTTTTATTATATTATATTATATTATATTACACTTGTCAGTTTGTCCAGTTCCAAAAAGCAATATATTTCTTGTTAGCTAGTCAATTAGTATAGTATATCTTTCCATCTTTGGGTATATAACTGACTAACTACAGTAGTCAGGTATTGAAACATTCTTTCTGAGCTCTTCTCATTCTGCTCATCCCATAATCCAAAAAGAAAAACAAATCCCGTCTCAATTTTATTTTAAACTATCCTGGGGACCCGACAGTGCCCAGGTTATTAGAAGAAGGCATTGTTTGGTTTGAGATGTTATGTAATATCACTTAAGTTTGGTCCAAATCTGTCATTGGCTGGCTTCAGTGCTCTCTGGATAAGGGAGAACTACAACTCCCAGATTCTCATGGCAATCACCCCCAAACCCTGATAGTATTTGCAGTTGTCCATGTTGGATCTGTGTGCCAAGTTTGGCTCAGATCCAGCGTCAGCTAAGTTTAGAGCTCTCTGGATAATGGAGAACTACAATTCCCAGATTCCCAGGGCAATTACCCCCAAACCCTGACAGTATTTGCAGTTGGCCATGTTGGATTTGTGTGCCAAGTTTGGCCCAGATCCATCGTTGGCTAGGTTTAGTACTCTCTGGATAAGGGAGAACTACAACTCCCAGATTCCCAGAGCAATCACCCCCAAACCCTGACAGTATTCGCAGTTGGCCATGTTGGATCTGTGCGCCAAATTTTACCCCGATCCATCGTTGGCTAGGTTTAGTGCTCTCTGGATAAGGGAGAACTACAACTCCCAAATTCCCAAAGCAATCACCACCAAACCCCACTTGTATGCACAGTTGGCCATGTTGGGCCTGTGTGCCAAGTTTGGTCTAGATTTGATCCATCCAATGATGAATTTGAATCCAGTTATTATTATTATTATTATTATTATTATTATTATTATTATTATTGCTTTTTCACATAATAAAGTTCCATACTGGAGGTCCTAGAGATCCCTGGAGAGAGCCTTAGAATATGTTAATAAAATCAATGAATAATCAAATTCCCCAAAGCCAAAACTGAAAATGTGGAGGAACAGCTGTAGTTTTTGAAACCTTTTCTGGAGCTAAATGCCATTCATGCGTCAATTTGTAAACATTATCTTTAAGATCACAACATGATGTGAATTCCAGTCTCTCTTTGCCCATCTTTTCTCATTGTATGCATCTTACTTTTTCATGAGGAAGCGGTTAATGGCCTTTTGCTTGCGCATGAACTGCACGATCTTGCGGTTGAAGTAGACAAACAATGCCCCGCCAAAGCCACTTGCGATTCTGAAGGGAAAAAAGGAGGGATGGAATGAGAAGAGGGTTCCTTTGGAGAGGTAACCTCTTACCAAAAGGTGGGAAAGGTCCAGTAAAACTGGATGAGACTCACCCAATGACAGCAAAAGCCGGCAGCTCCTGCAGGTCAAAGGGAAAGTCCAATCGGAAGCGGGTTTTAAAGAGAGCGGTGATGGTTTCTGGTGGAAGGAGAACATGCTGTGGGCATTTTGTCTTCTGCATGTTGATTTTTTTAATGTTCTGGTACATACATGCTGACACGTCTTAATCCTTTGTTTTACTGTATTGCTGCTGTGCAATTATACTCCTTGGATGCTACTTTAAGGCAGAGCTTTCCAAACACTTCATGTTGGTGACACACGTTTGAGACATGCCTCATTTCGCAACACAGTCATCCAGTTTTACTAGCAAACTGAGGGTAAAACTAACCCTTAGAAGCGCTATGGACACGTAATAACAAAATGTATGGGGACAATGTATTGTCGAAAGCTTTCATGGCCAGAATCACTGGGTTGTTGTAGGTTTTTTTGGGCTATATGTCCATGGTCTAGAGGCATTCTCTCCTGATGTTTCACCTGCAACTATGGCAAGCATCCCCAGAGGTAGTGAGGTCTGTTGGAACTAGGGAAAAGGGTTTATATATCTGTGGAATGACCAGGGTGGGACAAAGGACTCTTGCCTGCTGGAGCTAGGTGTGAATGTTTCAACTGACCACCTTGATTAGCATATAATGGCCTGACAGTGCCTGGAGCAAACTTTTGTATGGGGACAATAAGATACATTTTCAATATTTTTTGTCATTTACGTGTAACAATTAATATTATTAATGCTATTACTAATAATATTACCAATACTAATTGGCACCTTTCCTGCATAAAAAATATATGCAAGTTGGTATTACTTATTTTGCATAGAGATGTCTTATTATGTTCGCGCAGCACACATACACACTGCAGCCGACACACGTACATGGAAAGCTCTACTTTAAGGCCATGACTCCATTCTATGAGATCCTGGGATTTGCAGTTGCAGGCCCCATATAAAATCCAGATTATCTGCTTTGAACTGGATTAAACGGCAGTGTAGACTCATATAATCCAGTTCAAAGCAGATAATGTGGATTATCTGTTTTGATAATCTGGATTATATAGCAGCGTAGAAGGGACCCAGGAATCCTTAGGTTGTCCAGCACAATCTATAATCAGTCTCTGGTGGAAAATGGCCAGAGATGAACTGAGCAACCTAGGGATTCTAGAGAGACAGCATCAATCAAATCTGCCAAGGTTAAACCAACAAATAGAATTACTTTAGAAAACTAGAAATTCCAAGATTCCACTTGAAGGAGCCATGGCAGTCAAAACTGGGATCACAATGCTAGAACTGTACAATTGGAGACATCTCTGCCTCCTTAGTTGCAACCCATGGTTGAGAATCTGCTCCTACACAATATCTGCAATGAGGCACCACAGTTCAAGAAGGATATTGACAAGTTAGAACATGTCCAGAGAAAAGTGACCAAAATGACCAAAGGTTTAGAAGTCAATCCCTATGAGGAGTGGTAAGAGGACCTGGGTATGCTTAACCTGGAGAGAAGAAGATTGAGAGGAAATATGATAGCCATGCTTAAATATCTGAAAGGATCTTCATATTGAGGAAACGGAAAACTTGTTTCTGCTACTCTGGACGCTATGACACACAATGGATTTAAATTGAAGAAAACGTGATTCTAGTTAAATATTAGAAGTAACTTTCTGACTGTAAGAGTTGTTTGGAAACAGAATATGTTGCCTCCTCGGAGCATGGTGGAGTCTCCTTTTCTGGAAGTTTTTAAGCACAGCATGGATGGCTATCTGTTGAGGGTGCTCTGACTGTGCTCCTGCATGACAGAAGGGAATTGGACTGGATAGCCTATTGGTCTGTTCTAACTTAATGTTTCTATGTTTCCTGGAACCAGAAACTATACCTTCATCTTTGTTCCACACTGCTAACACTCGGAAGATGAAGGCACTGAAGGTGGCCGCAAAGAAGCCACGCCAGTAGTTGCGGACAGCAAAGAAGGTTGATGTGACCTCGATGCTGAAGAGGACACCTGGGTGGGACAGAAAAGAGGGACGTCATTAAAAATAAAACATCTCAATACTGTTCAAACCAAGGGAAAGTAGGCACAGTGCTACTGATATTGTTGGGTCATAACTCCCTTTGACTCATGGAAGTTGACAATATCTAGAAGGCTATCAGCTATCCACAGCTATCCACAGCTATCCACAGAGAATTAGAGAATACACATGAAGAGGGAGACACACTGACATTAAGACAAACTCCATATTGCTGTAACATCTTTACTACAAAAGCTGCTACAGTGAGCCCTAGGCATCTGTTGGGGTTTAGTTCCAAACCCCCTCATGGATACCGCAATTTGGGGATGCTCAAGTTTAATTACATACAATATATATACAGTGTTCCCTCACTTTTCATGGGGGTTCCGTTCCATGTCCACCCGCGATAAGTGAACATCCGCGAAGTAGGAACGCCAAATTAATATGAATATTTGTACATTATTTTTTATATTTTCTATATTATTTTCTAACCCTTACTTCCTTACCAGCCTCCCGGCCCATCCCAAGGGGTCCCTGCCTGCCTACCTGGCCTTTGCAGAGCCTCCAGAGCCACACAGGCAGCAGCAGGCCAGGGAGGCAGGCCTTCCCCGCCATGCCTCAGGCTGCCACACTTCTGGGGTCCCTGACCTCCCTGGCCTCCACTGGACATAAATATTTAATATTTTTATTAATATTTTCAAAAACTTGCTACTCCACTAAAAGCGAACCACAAAGTAGTGAGGGAACACTGTATATAAAAATGCTCTGTCCGTTTTCAGTGACATCATGACTCAAAAACCGCTGAATGAATTGCTGCAATATTTGGCCACAAGACACCTAGTAACCCAAGGAGTGACCATCATAAAAAAAATGATTTTGTCATTTGGGAATTATAGTTGCTGGAATTTATAGTTAACCTACAATCAAAGAGCATTCTGAACTCCACCAACAATGGAATTGAACCAAACTTGGCACACAGGACTCCCATGACCAACAGAAAACAATGGAAGGGTTTGGTGGGCATTGACCTAGAGTTTTGGAATTGTAGTTCACTTACATCCAGAGAGTACTATGGACTCAAACAATGAAGGATCTAGACCAAACTTGGCATGAATACACCATATGCCTAAATATGAACACAGATGGAGTTTGGGGAAAATAGACCTTGACATTTGGGAGTTGTAGTTACTGGGATTTATATTTCACCTACAATCAAAGAGCATTCTGAACCCCACCAATGAACAGAACATATATATAAATGACAGATATAGTATCATAGGTTTGAAAGGGACTCCTAAAGAAGGACAATTATATGTTGCATGTTCCAGAGTAGGCAAACCAGATAATCTCTACATAAACACTGACAAAGAAACAACAAGAAATACTGTTTACTCACAAGCATAAAGAAATTACATATATTAGAAACCAGGACTTTCTCATTACTTTATTTTCCAGATCACCAGACTGGGCCACAGCAACACATGGCAGGGGATGGCTAGTGGTATAATAAAATGATGCCTCTTATATATATTGTTTTCAAATCTATTTTATTAAGGGTAGAAAGGGAGGGAGAGTAGAGGGATTTTTTTTCTATACATGTAAATTGGGGAAACAATAATGCTATAGGAAAGTAGGGAAAAAAGAAATAGCAGAAATTTGGCTTTTTCGAATGAGGGGGATACCTTCTAACCATGGATGGTTGAATCTGCAGGTGCAGAATCAATGGATACGAAAAGCTGGCTGTACTACAAATTGGCACAAAGATATTTGTGCACACTTTCAAAACCAAAAATATTTCATAATCTTTGCCTGATGAAGCAGGCAACAGAAAGTGGGCGAGCATGTCATTGTGAAAAGGCAGGTTGTCTGCATGTTGAAAGCCGACCTAGTGTAGCAGTTCAAGTGTTGAACTACAATTTGGAGACCCTAAGTCAGAAATGATGGTAAGACACACAACAATGCTGCACTTTATAATTTCAGTATTATTTTTGAAATGCACCCCTTGAATGTTCTAGGAAGAGTCTAATCCAGACAGGCATGTAGCCGGGGGGGGGGGGGGGGGGGGGCGCTTGGGGCCAAATTCTCATGGTGGTCTGCAAAAAGGCCTTACTGGTACATTATTTAAACTGTTATGTTTATTCATATCATGATCTGATCACCATGCTCAATATATCCCATATGCATGGGGGTATTGGGGTAACGATACAAAAGGTTTGCTAGGGTAGACCCTCTTTCACTCAGACTCAGCCCCCCCCCCGAATCAAACTCAGCCCCCCCCCACATCAAAATCCTGGCTATGGGCCTGAATCCAGAGATTCCACTCCCGAGATTGCAGCCCACCCTGATGCACCAGAGCTTCAGCCTAACGCAATAATACAGAGGTTCCAGCAGATTGGAGCAATCATTGTACCTTGTGGCTCAGTGTCTCAGCCTGCATGCCTTTGCCTGCATGCCTTTGCCTGCTTGCCACATGCTCCACTTTGGGAGACTGTTGTCCTCTGAGGAAGTTTGAGTTAGTTCACTTTGTATGCTTTTTATTCCTTGTAGTGTATGTTTCACTTCATGGATGAGGCAAGAGGTGGCAAGATGAAGGGAGCTGCTCAAGTAGCCACTGCCACTACTGCTGGCACTTCCAGGAGTAGCCAACATGCAATTTGTCTTGTGGCAGTAGAAGCATTTTTTTATGCAACACACTTGCAGACAACAGCTGACACAGCAGTATGTCATGACACCCTGTTTGGAAAGCTCTGCTAAAAGGTGTTATAAGATCACTGCATGCTGACGTTCCAGACTAAGAAGGCGATGTTGTTGAACTGAACTAGAAGCTTCAGAGAAAAAGGCTGAGACCAGACTCTTTTCCAGGAATAGGACAACAAATGCACCTAGCCGCACACCTCTTAGCACTGAGCCATAACAGCTAAAGTGGTGTCAAACACCATTAGCTCTACAGTGTAGGCGCACCTGCAATGAAAATCTGTGACAGATTTGCATTAGCAACTCCATACGCCAGATATGACTTGAAAGCACATGGCAGCGAAATTCAGAATTACAGGGTAAGAGCAAGGGAAAGGAATTCAGCCTCAATCACTGTAACTCATAACACCATAAGGTTAATCTAAATATTGTAAGCAATTGTATAAATAGCTTTGCTTAATTTCATGTCTTGCTTCCAAGTCCCTCAAATCCCAGTGTGCTAGTCACAAGTCTAAACATTGTGACAGTTCCAAGGCATAAGCAGTGTGTTGAGAACGCTTCTAGATGACATTATTTCGTCACAGTCAACACAAGACAAGAAAATTGTTTCTTGGCAAAAACCGACTTGCCTCAAACCAACACATATTCCAGAATCCAGTGCTTGGAAATGCTATATTCTTAATTACTACAATTGCCCAATATCTCCAGCTATCTGGGGGAAATGTGGGCATGCTTCCATGATTGCTAAATATATATTTTCAAAGGAATGGACATGAAAGCAACATTTGTAATAGATAGTCAACTGATATGTTTACAATCATCTGGTTTCTCCAATAATGCTCTATCTGTTTTAAAAAGGGGGCAATGTTGGAGGACTCCTAACCTCAATAAAAGACTGTGTGTCTCATGGCTCACAAGATGGTCTACATTGAAGAATGAATGCAGTTTTGCACCATTTTAGCAGCCATGGCTCAGTGCCATGGAATCATGGGAGTTGTAGTTCTGCCCAAGAGTGCTGGTGCCTCAACAAACTACAAATCCCAGGATTCTATAGCATTGAGCCATGGCGATTAAAGTGGCATCAAACTGTGCTAATTCCACAGTGTAGATGCACTCTTTGTTGTATTGCTGGGAAATGGTATGTTGTTGTTGTTCATTTGTTCAGTCACTTCCGACTCTTCGTGACGTCATGGACCAGCCCACGCCAGAGCTCCCTGTCGGTCATGGCCACCCCCAGCTCCTTCAAGGTCAAGCCAGTCACTTCAAGGATACCATCCATCCATCTTGCTGTTGGTCAGCCCCTCTTCCTTTTTCCTTCCTTTCCCCCCAGCATCATTCTCTTCTCCAAGCTTTCCTATCTTCTCATTATGTGGCCAAATTATTTCTTCTTTGCCTCTAATATCCTTCCATCCAGTGAACAGTCGGGCTTTATTTCCTGAAATATGGACTAGTTGGATCTTCTTGCTGTCCAAGGCACTCTCAGAACTTTCCTCCAACACCACAGTTCAAAAGCATCTCTCTTCCTTCGCTCAGCTTTCCTTATGGTCCAGCTCTCACATCCATAGGTTACTATGAGGAATACCATTGCTTTAACTATGTGGATCTTCGTTGCGAGTGTGATGTCTCAGCTCTTCACTATTTTATCGGGACTGGTCATTGCTCTCCCCCCAAGAAGGAAATATTTTCTGATTTCCTGGCTTCAGTCTGCAGCAATGGTATATGAGGATGCTGTTTTGAAAAGTCCATGTACATGGTTTCCTTCATTTGTTAGACTTGGTGTTGCTTATGTGAACATCATAGTCTGTAGTAGTGTGGGCAACACTTAATATATTCTGCTTAATGACCTTATATTATTTCAATACAGAAAATGCTGTTCCATGCTAGAAAAGAGATTCCTGCTAAACATTAAGAATATCTTCCTGACGTTAAGATCTGTTCAGTAGGGCTGGGCAACCACGGAAAAATTTGTTTCTAAACTCGATTCGTTTTTTGGGGTTTTTTGCGTTTCGATATTTAAAAGAATTCCGAAATTTTTCTTTAAAAAAGTTCGATATTTACGAAATTTCGTAAAATTACGAAACAATACAAAACGAATACGAAACGAATACGAATCGATTCGTTAATGGCGGACGCGACCGCGCAATACGCTAAAAAACCTCCATATGGGACAGGGGGAACTTCTGAAGCTTCCCTCTCCCTCTGTTGTTGACTGTTGGTGTGATATTTATAATTTTTTTTCACTGATTAAACAAACAACAGCTATAAAACTTGCCCCAGACATGCGGAAATAATAACGAAACGATTTCGAAACGATTTCGAAATGAATACGAAACGAATACGAAGCAATTACGAAATGAATTGAAAAATTCATTTCGTTTTTAAGATGCTCCTGAATGGTTCAATATCGCTTCGTTATCAAAAAAAAAATAATGAATTTTTAACGAATTACAAAATTACGAAACGAAACCGCCCAGCCCTACTGTTCAGCAGTAGACTAAGCTCTTGAAATTTGATGGCGGCTTGAAGGTAGAGTCTGGATGACCATCTGTTGGGGGTGCTTTGATTGTGCTTTTCCTGCATGGACTAGGAGCAATGGGTTCAAATTACAGGAAAGGAGATTCCACCTGAACATTAGGAAGAACCTCCTGACTGTATGAGCTGTTCAGCAGTGGAACTCTCTGCCACAGAGTGCAGTAGAAGTTCCTTTCTTGGAATTTTTTAAACAGAGGCTGGATGGCCCTCTGTCAGGGATGCTTTGATTGTGCATTTCCTCCATGGCAGAGGGTTGGACTACATGGCTCATGTGGTCTCTTCCAACTCCATGATTCTATGTGCAAAAGAAATATGTAGTTTCTGAGCACATAAACCACGTGCTAATTTTGTCCCATATGGCCAAGGTTCTTCAAGAGTCCGTTACGGCACATTTATGGCCCCATCTACACTGGCATATAATGCAGTTTGAAACTGCATTATATGGTCAGTGCAGACTCATATAAAGCAGACTCTGCACATCTAATTCCGTAACCAACATTCACTTGTACACAACTATGACCAGCTTTAGTTTTTGTCTTCAGAGGACAAGTTATCACAAAAGACACAAAATGGTGCAGCTTTATCTCTTTTTCCGCTCTCTTTTTAGTAATGTGTATGATAGCACAACATGTGGTATATGACTTGCTGTTTCTATGGCCATTCAAATAAGGGGAGGGCTAGGAAAAACTCAGTGCAAGCATGAGAAAGCCTTATCATGTGAGATGTATGATTTTTCCCCATGTGGAAGCATTTATTTTTATAAGAAGGAGTCACAGTCAGTGCCCTCCAATGTCCCCAAATCTGGACTGAGGAACATTTGGTCCTTCAAATTGCTGGCTTTTAAAAAATAGTTTTTAACATATTGAAATATAATAAAATTACACAGAGATATAAAAAGGAAAAGCAAGAAAAAGAAAGAAAAAAGATGAAACGTACAAATGGGAAATTAAAGAAAAATGTCAAGTTCCAGTCTTCCTTTAAATGATACTCAAACTATTCCAGGCTTCTCAAGAAAATATCTAACAATTCTCTCTCTTTTGGATTAAAATTCCAGTATTCCAAGAAAGTGGTATAGTTCTTTATGTGTTGGATAAGACACTTGAGAGATCTGGGTTCAAATCCTCATTACAGCATGGCAACCAAGTGCCAACCTTGGTCAAGTTGCACTCTTTCAGAAATGCTTTATCTATGCACTACTGTGGCACAGCGGGTTAAACCACTGAGCTGCTGAACTTGCTGACCGAAAGGTTGGTGGTTCGAATCCGGGGAGCAGAGTGAGCTCCCGCAGTTAGCCCAAGTTTCTGCCAACCTAGCAGTTCGAAAACATGCAAATGTGAGTAGATCAATAGGTAACACTTCAGCAGGAAGGTAACAATGCTCCATGTAGTCATGCTGGCCACATTACTTTGAAGGCATCTACGGACAACACCAGCTCTTTGGCTTAGAAATGGAGAAGAGTCGAACATGACTAGACTTAATGTCAAGGGGAAGCCCTTTCTTTACCTTACCGTATATACCCAGTGAGGTCTGGGTGTTGTTAGGATTGCTGCCTGCCTACTTTCCCTCTTCTCCAGCTCTGAGAAAGCCTACCTCACAATGTCTCTATGGCAACACTTTGGCAACTGTGGGCAAGCTCTCTTTTGGACTCTTTCCTCTCTCCCTTCTTCCCTTTCCCTCATGTACATGCCACTTTTCTAGTTCTAGGATGCCAGTACATATTTGACTGGTGATATAATGGGGAAATTGAAGTCAGGACTCCATGCCAGTGGTTCTTCAACCTTTGGTCCTCAGGTGTTTTGGCCTACCACTCCCAGAAATCCTAGCCAGTTTATTGATTGATTGATTTATTCATTTATTTATAGTATTTATACTCCGTCCTTCTTCCCCCGCAGGGGACTCAGGGCAGATTACAATGCACATATACATGGCAAACATTCAGTGCCATAGACACACAACATATATAGACAAACACAGAGGCAATTTAAGCTTCATGAGGGTATGCTCAAACTCGGACCACCGGGGGAGCTGTCGCTTCACGGTCCACTTGTGACACCGAGTCCTGGATGGAGTACTTCCTCATTCTTTCACCCACTGCTGGAGATTTTTATGGTGTTGTAAATTAGTTAAATTAGCCTCCCCGCATAAGCGGTACCTAAATTTCCTACTTGACAGATGCAACTGTCTTTCGGGCTGCAAAGGTCTACAGCAAGCTGGACAAATGGTTGGGAGCTTACTCTGACCTGGGCTGGCTTCGAACTCATGTGGTAATTTAATGCAGCTGACTCCTAGCCAACTGCGCCACAGCCTGGTCCAACAGCTGTTAGGATTTCTCAGAGTAGAAGGTCAAAATATCTGGGGACCCACAGGTTGAGATCCACTGCTCTATGCAAAATGCATGCTCTTCCCCTCAGTCATCAGCATAATCTCTGAGGCTACTGGTTTAGTAAAGGAAAAGTCACAATAAGGATGGCTTTTTGACATGGATGCAGTGAAAAAGCCTTGAGGACAAGTCTTACCTCCGATGGGAGCAGCGAAACAGCAGCCAACGCCTACGGCACAGGCAGCCGCCAGCATCTCAATGTTGCGGGATTCGTTCTGCAAAATAAGCAGGTGAGAAGTATATTGGAGCCACAGCGCAATCTACAGCCAGCACAAAAGGAACTGCAGCAGGTAACAGGAAAGCAATGGCAAACATTGCTTTCCTGTGACAATTATAGAACAGAATGTGTGCTCCCTTTCTTGGCATTCAGGGAATGCACCATTTAATCTGTTCAAAGCAATGGGCACCCTTTCTGGACTGTTGCCCTCCCCAAAACACCACCCAAATCATTTATCTACTATCTCTTAGGTAAAATGAGCAAAGACATCTGTGGAGTGAAGGTCACTAGATTTTAAAACTGGGTTGCTGTGAGTTTTCCAGGCTGTATGGCCATGTTCCAGAAGCATTCTCTCCTGATGTTTTGCCCACATCTATGGTAGACAATCCTCAGAAGTTGTGAAGTCTGTTGGAAACTAGGCAAGTGAGATTTATATATCTGGGGAATGTCCAGGTTGGGAGAAAGAACTCTTGTCTGTTTGAGAAAAGTGTGAATGTTGCAATTGGCCACCTTGATTAGCACTGAATAGCCTTGCAGCTGCAAAACCTGGCTGTTTCCTGGCTGCAAGTGTGAATGTTGCGATTGATCACTGAATAGCAACAAACAAATCTGTAGATTTCTTCATGTCCTTTTAGTGGTAAGGGTATGAAACCTATAACCTAGTAACCCAGTGCTGTGAAAAAGGGTTTAAATTCTGCATTGGTTTCATATTCAGTGCTTACCAAATGTCATCATGGCAAATAATAACAATAATAATAATAACAATAATAATAATAATAATAATAATAATAATAATAATAATTGTACAATACAATCAGAGCTCTGGTATGAATTGTGGCTTTTTTTCTCAATCTACAAGCATCATCCACATCCATCTGGAGAAATCTTTACAGAGTAAACCAGTTCTCTTATGTCCATATTGCTGATCAGGGGGACTGAGGGTGGAAAAGGAAAGCTTGCTTAAAACCAGTCAGTGAACTTCAATCTGAACTGTGGCATTTGTGCTGTTTCAGACTCCAAAATCCTTCAGTCAGCATGACCATCAGATGGATACATACCTCATAGATACCGCCAAAGAGAGAGAGGAATTTGCTGAGTAAAGCAGCGCACATACTGGCTATGTGGACAAAAGGTCCCTGCAGAGGAAAGAGAAAAGGGAATTCACTGAGTTATAGGGAAACTCACAACAGACACTGCATAGACAAATCTTTTGGGAACTGATCTGCAGTGGGTTCAAGGGATGGGTAACATCCTACCAGTGTCCAATGCAAGGGTTGGGAATTGCAAGACACATATCACATGTGGTTTCTGGACTTCACTTCTGGGGTCTCAAAGCCTTATACCAGTCTCCCCTAACACATCCATCTTCCTGCAAAATTGGAAAACTCTAAGGGCACCTGGCCAGTCTTGGTTAGGACTTGGATGGGAGATTGACAAGGCTATATTTCTGAGGAAGGAACTTGCAAAATCACCCCTGAATTTTTTAAAAAAACCCTAAGAAGTTCATGGAGTTGCCATGAGTCAACAGGATACTTGAATGGCCATATAAACATGCCCATGCACACATACAATTTGGGGTGAAAACTATATCACCATGCAACATACAGGAGTGTGCTCCAATTTTCACTTTGGCCTGGGTATGAAAATGCAGATGCCCACCTCTAACACAACACAACAAGAGCTCTTCTCTCACTAAGTTATTATTTCATTTACTTACATCCTGCCTTTTCCCAACCCTGGGACTCAAGGCAGCATTAAAAAAAGGAAATCTGTAAAAATGTGCATATCAATCAAAGCAAACAAAATGTTCATGAATTATAGAAATAATTAAAAGTAATTTAAAAACTCAGTGGGCCCTTGGCATTCAATGGGATTTGGTTCTAGGATCCATCTTAGATACTAAAATCTGTGGATGCTCCAGTCCCGTTATATACAATGGCATAATAAAATGGTGTCCCTTACATAAAATGACAAAATCAAGGTTTGCTTTTCAGATTTTTTAAAAAACTTGTGGATGGTTTAATCCATGAATACAGTATGGAGGGCTGAAAGCATATCCATTAAAAAAGCAAGAAATCAAAACATCACCACATGTGTGCTATTGCTCTTAATTCTCTAACCCACTGGCTTCTCCTAGGTTTGCACAAGTTACTTTTTTGGATTCTATGTTGGCTGGTCTAAGAGGTGCAGTCCAAAAGTTTTCTAAACATTGGGACTCATTGCTATGCTCAGTATCCACTTATGATCGATCAACCAGGTTGCAGCAGCAGAATGCCATGGTCCACCTCACCTCTTTGCCCAAAGGCATCCCACTGCCCAGGGCACATGTCAGGCCGATCACTTTGGCAACGAAGGTCTTGAGGGTAAGGTACTCCTTCAGCACCACACCTCGCAGGATGGTCTTCATCTCAGGGATGCCAGAGCCTGAAGAAGGACAAGGAAAAGTTTGCAGAGATCAGTTGGGCAAAGGGTTTCCTTCCAGGTATCTTGGGTAGGAATCTTGCAGCACACCAGATCTTTCCCAACTGTAATGTCCAGCAGCCTAATCCAATACAGACCATGGGAGGTGCAATCCAACATCTGGAAGCTGCATGATTCCCATTCCTGGGCTAAATATGGTTGTTCCCGTGTCCCCTCCTGGATTTTCAGGATGCTAAAGTTTGGTGTCTATATGGAATGGGAAATGTTGCCTTTCCAATTGCAAGGGATTTGGGGAGCTGTAGTCCAAAAGGTAACATTTCCTACTTCTGATCTGTCAGGGCAGAGAATACTTATCAACAAGTACTTATTCATATTGTATAATTACAGCAATATGATTCCAACTTCAAGTTGCATCCTACAGGACCTTCTTTGGAACAGAATACAGCCAGTCATCTATCTACATTTGCTGGGGTTGGGGAGTCAGGACCACATGAAAGTGGGGAAAATGCAGGAGAAAAACACTACTTTTTATATCCTGTGACAACATTCCTCTACGAATTTCCAGGTTGTCCACTGCATCTCCATGGTCAACTTTTGCTAGATGTTAACCATGGAGTCACACAGGAGGACCCAGAGATACCATATTAATCAAATCTGCAAATAATCACATCCACAAACGTTAAACTCATAAATATTATTCCTTAAAAGGGAAACTGCAGCATCCACATAATGGAATGATAGGAACTGAAGTGGAATCATAGCGCAATCATTACATAGTGGGAATGGGCCTACAATGTAGTGAAAGTGCATATTAAATAAATAGTTCATTAGACTTGGTCAGTTGCCAGGAAATTCCCTGGATCCAGTTCACAGAGGCCTCTTTTTGGAGGAGAGGTCTTCTTTGGGACAGTCCCATATCAACTTGGGGAGGAAGGTTTCATGCATGGTATTTCTTCTTCCAAGCCCATTAAGAGGGCTCCCCTTGCTAGCCAGAAAGCAACTTCTACCCCATAACTCACCTACTGCTTGTGGAGCCAGGATCTGGGTGAAGCCGGCTGAAAAAGTGATGAGCACCACAGGATAGGTAACCCAGGCCATGTACTGCAGGAAGATGTTGGCATCTAGTCCTCCATACATCCACTTCTGGGCTGCAGGTGGATATGATATGTAGAGAGAGAGAGAAATTGAGAACACATTGATACACAAAAGAAGGCACTAAGTGAACGGCAAGCACAGCTTGTACTAGTCTTCTACAGCCTGGTGCCTTTCCCTTGTATTGGTGTACAACTTGATCATTCCTAACCAGTATGGCCAATAATCCAACCAGTCCATACATCAGGAAATAAAGCCTGACTGCTCATTGGAGGGAAGGATATTAGAAACAAAGTTGAAGTACTTTGGCCACATCATGAAGAGACAGGAAAGCTTAGAGAAGAGAATGATGCTGGGGAAAATGGAAGGAAAAAGGAAGAGGGGCCGACCAAGGGCAAGATGGATGGATGGCATCCTTGAAGTGACTGGCTTGACTCTGAAGGAGCTGGGGGAGGTGACGGCCGACAGGGAGCTCTGGCGTTGGCTGGTCCATAAGGTCATGAAAAGTCGGAAACGACTGAACGAATGAACAACAACAACAACAACATGGGCAATAATTATAACCATGCTGGCTAGAGAATGATGCAAGCTGTAATCTACTACATCAGGCATGGGCAAACTTTGTCACTCCAGGTATTAGGAATTGTGGGAGTTGCAGTCCAAAACACCTGGAGGGATGACGTTTGCCCATGCCTGCACTACATCTAGAAAACACTGTGTTGGAGAAGATGAGTTATAGAATCATAGAATCATATAATCAAAGAGTTGGAAGAGACCTCATGGGCCATCCAGTCCAACCCCCTGCCAAGAAGCAGGAATATTGCATTCAAATCACCCCTGACAGATGGCCATCCAGCCTCTGTTTAAAAGCTTCCAAAGAAGGAGCCTCCACCACACTCCGGGGCAGAGAGTTCAACTGCTGAACAGCTCTCACAGTCAGGAAGTTCTTCCTCGTGTTCAGATGGAATCTCCTCTCTTGTAGTTTGAAGCCATTGTTCCGCGTCCTAGTCTCCAAGGAAGCAGAAAACAAGCTTGCTCCCTCCTCCCTATGGCTTCCTCTCACATATTTATACATGGCTATCATATCTCCTCTCAGCCTTCTCTTCTTCAGGCTAAACATGCCCAGCTCCTTAAGCCGCTCCTCATAGGGCTTGTTCTCTAGACCTTTGATCATTTTAGTCGCCCTCTCCTGGACACATTCCAGCTTGTCAATATCTCTATTATAAAGCAATAGCTGCAGACGTTCCCTTTTCTACACAACCATGAAAAGTACAGGAGCGCTCCCCAGTTTTCACTCTGGCAACTCTACTCCCCACCCATCACTACTATTATCCCCTTCCTTACCTTGCAAGCAGGTGGCTATGGCAAAATCCATGGCCCAGCTCACTAAGGCCATCACCAGCCCCAACAGGATGAGGAAAATCCAGTCTTCACCCACTTTGGAGATGAGGAACTTTTGGCATCGTACTGTGCAGACTGCAGGATGAAAGAGAGAAGGCGATGCATCAGGGACAGTGAACAAGGGATACTCAGATGATACACAGTGAGCATGACAGTAGGCTACCCAAAATAGGTATCCAATCCCTGCAGCAGTGGTGGGCCAAACTGTTTGTTAATGTGTTTTTAAATGTTTTATCTTCATATGATTGTGGTAGTTTCTGTTTGTTCATTGCCTCAGGCACCTTTGTGAGCAAGGAGACAACAGAGGAATATCTTCAATATCTTTAATAAATAAATAAAACAAGCACAAACATGACACTGTTGCTCCTGGAGCGCTTTTACACAACAGTTATAGCACTGATTCTACTTAGCCGCCCCAAGTCTCTTTAGGGAAAGGGGGCGGGATATAAATAAAGCATTAGTATTGTTGTTGTTGTTGTTATTATTATTTGAGACATAACAAGATTAGTTATGTCTCGTACACCAAACAAGACACAGCAAACAAGATCACTATGCTGGCTTTTGTATTTGATCACACGTTGGCCACAACCCAAGTGTCTAGGACTGTGTGATGTATCAGCAAATAATGCATGCTGATCCAAGTACGGTGGTCTTTTGCAACTGACAAATGGTAATTTTGTGAGCCATGATTGTTTTTAAGTGCAGGCCAAGATCGTTAGGCACTGCACCCAGAGTGCCGATCACCACAGGGACCACCTTGACTGGCTTGTGCCAGAGTTTTTGCAGTTCGATCTTTAAATCCTCATATCGTGTAAGCTTTTCCAGTTACTTCTCATCAATGCTGGCTTTAGCCTATAAAGCCCTAAATGGTTCTGGCTCTGCTTATCTGTCCGAACGTATCTCTCCTTATGAACCATCTAGGAATTTAAGATCTTCTGAGGAGGTCCTGCTCTTGGTCCTTCCTTCTTCACAGGGTCAGTTAGTGGGGATGAGAGATAGGGCCTAATAATAATAATAATAATAATAATACTTTATTTATACCCCGCCACCATCTCCCCAAGGGACTCAGAGCGGCTTACATGAGGTCAAGCCCAACAACACATCAATAAAAACAACAAGCAATAAGCAAAATAAACAATACATTTAATATAACTCACACATAGACAGTAACACACAAGGATTTAAAAAAAAGCCTTCTCAGTGGTGGCCCCTCAGCTGTGGAATGCCCTTCCTAGGAACATTAGATTGGCCCCCACCATCTTAATATTTTGTAAAAATGTCAAAACCTGGTTTTGCGAGCAGGCTTTCTCAAATGCAGTGTAGCAGATAACTTCTTGACCTTGGAACAACTGGACAACTGTGATCGGATAACAATTTTGATATTGAGATGCGGAAGATTTATGCTTTTATTGATTTTCCTATTTATGGAATTTTATGTATTTTATATGCTTTTAATTGTTTTTATATTATTGTGGCATCGAATTGTGCCATTTTGTAAACCACCCTGAGTTTCACTCAGGTTGAGAATGCCGGAATAGAAATATAGTAAATAAAAATAATAAATAAATCAATTCTGCTGTCACCTGGGATTGCAACTTTGATGATCCATACTTTGTTTTTTTCCACGATCATGAGGTCAGGAGTATTATTTTAATAATAATAATGATAATAATAATAGGCTTTGGCTGTGTGATATAAAATTCTCTGGAAAGTTCCCTTTTATTCCAACTTCCAATTTTCTTGAAAGTGAGGATTGTGGGACTAGCAATCCAAAATAGAATTTTTCATGCTCTAAAACTACCACACCTGAGGAAGAATGGTTGAGCATAGCATTCACCATATGTAAGCATAGTTCCACATACTTAGGACATGTGGATGGGGTGAGGTGCAATTTCAAGTACAATCAGCCCCATACATTAGCTGGAGTTAGGGGCACAGGACTTCATGAAAGTGAAAAAACACAAATAAAGAAATTGCTAAAACAATTCTGGGTTCCAGGTGGACAGAACATGGAGTGGGAAAAAGAAATTTATTTATTTATTTATTTACTTTGCTTATATACCGCTGTATCTCAAGCCTGAAGGCGACTCACGGTGGTTCACAAACAGTAAAAACAGTAGAAACAGCAGTGGTTCCATACAACATATAACAATTGACTTAACACATTATTCATAAATTACCAATAAGCAATTACAATGCACAATTATTACAAAAAACAACCGTACCCAATCTTCTCATCATCCAAGCGTAGTCCAGGTTCGTCGTCCATTGTTCCATTCCTATGTTCCATTACCAGATTGTACTAAATTACTCAAATGGAGAACATGTTGATACACAAAAGAAGGCACTTTCTCAGTGAACAGCAAGTACAACTTGTACTAGGCTTCTACAGCTTTCCTTTGTGTTGGTGTACAACTTTATCATTACTATGGCCAATAATTATAAGCATGCTGGCTAGAGGATAATGCAAGCTGTATTCCATTGGAGGCTCCTTCTTTGGAAGCTTTTAAACAGAGGCTGGATGGCCATCTGTCAGGGGTGATTTGAATGCAATATTCCTGCTTCTTGGCAGGGGGTTGGACTGGATAGCCCATGAGGTCTCTTCCAACTCTTTGATTCTATGATTCTATGACATCAGGCATGGGCAAACTCCAGCCCTCCAGGTGTTTTGGACTTCAACTCCCACATGGTCACCTTCAACTAGAATTGTTTTGGAGGACCTAGAGGACGTTGTTATGATTTTTACACAGTTATGGTTTTTAGTGTTTGCTGCTCTCAGTCTTCTTTGGGAGAGAAAAAGTAGGATATATAAATACTACTAATACGAATTATCTCTAGTCATTTCCATGTCCTCCAGCATGACTGGAAGAACGTGACTGTAGAGTCATGCTGAAGGACCTAGAGATTCATGGAGGGAACATTTTTAATCAAATCCATGAATAATCCAATCTGCAAAAGTCAATGCTGCAAATGTGAAGAGACAACTCTATTCAAAACCAGCTCCCTCTTTGTTTGGCCAGTTTTGTAAACCAATGTTTACTTTTCCAGTGGCAGGAAGCAACAGAGCCTTTCTTCACCGAATATTTTTAGACGTTTCCATGAAACAAACCCCACTTTGAGAAAGTTAATGGGGCCTATTCAAACCGGAGAAGGCCGCTTGATTTGGCAGAGGCAGCCAAGCCAACAACTCAAGCGGCAAAAGCCATGAATGGGTTTGACGAAGGAGCCGGATTGGGGTCACTGCAAACAATGCACCCAAAGGAGAATCCTGCCCTGTCCAAGTGGAACATGATGCTCACTGATGACAACTTAGCATTCTGGGCAGGCAGTCATTACATAACCAAACAAACATGCGCACAGGCATCTCTTAATTACGCAACCCAATTTCCTTACGGTGTGAATTAGAGAGAAATTACTTTTTTGGACTATAAGCATCCAGTAACCAGACTGTAAAGGTAAAGGTTTTCCCCTGGCATTAAGTCCAGTCATGTCCGACTCTGGGGGTTGGTGCTCATTTCCGTTTCCAAGCTGAAGAGCCAGCATTGTCCATAGACATCTCCAAGGTCATGTGGCCAGCATGACTGCATGGAGCACTGTTACCTTCCCACTGAAGTGGTACCTATTGATCTACTCACATGCTAGGTTGGCAGAAGCTGATGGAGTATATATATATTTTGTCTAGGAGCAGTGGTCCAAATCAATCTGTAACTTTTCCAAGGCACATTATAGCAATATCTAACAGTATCTTAAATCTGACGATATGTGACGATGGGCTGAGCAACTTATAAAAAGACCTGAGCTTAGGAAAGCTACATTTATTTATTCATGGATCTGTATGCTAACCCATCTCTAAGGATCTCAGGTTTAAAATAATTTCAAGCCTTCTAAACCATTTCACACTTAGATTACCTTGGAAACTACAACCATCAGAGCTCTACAACTTGCATGAACATTGGATATGCTATCTAGGGGATTTTGAGAGGTGCAGTCAAATAGGTTTCCAAATTCTGATCAGGGTTTTAATAAAAATGCTTCTTTTGAGTTCAACCACGGTATTGTTTCCTCCAGAAGCATTTAGAAGAAACGTATTAGTGGAGGTTGGCAACTCATCACAGAGGAGACAGAATAGCCACCCCACATGCAAGAAGGTCCACCAGTTTCCTCTTTTTGCCTTAATACATGAACATGGCTCTTTAAAAATACAGTGAGTATGTGGCGTGTTTCAAGACGGTATTAAAGTTGGGTGTAAGTTCACTGAAATTGTCATTCTTCAAAACTACTGTCGGATCACCACATTTGTTGGGGTGAGGAGCACAGGTGCCCCATAAAAGTGAAGAAATATGGAGAAAATGTGTTACTTTTTGAACTAGAGAGAATACCTCTCCGGCAATCTCTAAGTTCTTTAGCATGACTCAATGATCAACATTTGCACTGAAGAACCTCGAGATTCCTACAGCTCTGTTCTCTCTAAGTATCTGAACATTAGGAAGAACTTCTTAATAGTGAGAGCTGTTTGAAGGGAGATGTTAACAAACTGGAAAGTGTCTAGAGGGTGACTAAAATGATCAAGGGTCTGGAGAACAAGCCCTATGAGGAGTGGATTGAAGAGCAGGGCATATTTAGCCTGTAGAAGAGAAGGCTGAGAGGAGACATGTTGAGGGCCATGTATGAAGATGTGAGGGGAAGTCATAGGGAGGAGGGAGCAAGCTTGTTTTCTGCTGCCCTGGACACAATGGAACAATGGCTTCAAACTACAGGAAAGGAGATTCCACCTGAACATGTGGAAGAACTTTCAAATGGTGAGAGCTGTTCAGCAGTGGAACCCTCTATCCTGGAGTGTGGTGGAGGCTCCTTCTTTGGAGGCTTTGAAGTAGAGGCTGGATGGCCATCTGTCAGGGGTGCTTTGAAGGCGATTTTCCTGCTTCTTGGCAGAATGGGGTTGGACTGGATGACCCATGAGGTCTCTTCCAACTCTAGGATTCTATGATTCTATGTATGAATGGGGGCAGAAGGTCAACGATGAATCCTGAAAGGGCTACCCATTTCCTCTTGTAGTAAAACTATCCCCATTACAT